CGTACAATTAGCTTATTCTCTACAAAGTTAAAGTTTTACTCCTCTACATGCTCAAGGACAACAGGTGGTCATTAAAACAATCACAAAAGCCTCCTCAGGAATAAGGAGTGTAAAACAATAAATGTTTATTAGGACACAATGACCCAAAGTATGAAACATCCCAGTAAGATAAAAATATGGGCTATTGGAATAACATGTACTTTTAATACTTGATGTTTTGCCAGGTGAGCATTTAACCATGAGAGAGGCCTTGCCTTCTCTCGTTGCTGTTGGAGAGGCCTTGCCATCTCCTGTCGCTGTTGGAGAGGCCTTGTCTCCTCTTGTCACTGTTGGACATGTGCCTTGCAATCATGTCCTTTGATGATTTCTTTCTTGGTCTCCATCAGTGGTGTACCAGTCACTTGGACTAATTGTTTCCAATCTTGGGTTTTCTTCATTTTTCTTTGCTCTAGACAAGGAGAGACCCATCATTGCATCTAGATGGCTGCTTGCAAGCTTTTAAGGTCCCAGTCATTACTCACCAAAGTAGGAGGTGGAACAATGTTTTGTATAGTATGTTATGTCGGTTGATCTTGATGTCCCCTGAGACTATGGTCCCGAGCCCACAGATCCAATTATTCGCTCCCTCTGGGTAGTTGGCTGTGGACAAGAAGTGACTACAACCTTGTCCCTTGTCAGCTCTACTATATACCTGAGATTTCTTACAGAACATACCAATACACGTGTAGAAACATGTCTGCCATCCTTATACATGGTCTTGGGCACACTCCCCCCTGCATAGACATACCTAATGGTTCAACCTGTCCACCAATCTATCCACCCTTATATCCATGTTTGCCTTCACTGACAACGCAGTATTGTATGTGCAAAAGCGTTCATCTTTGTTGTCTGTACCTCCCATGTACCTTTCTATGTCTTCCTCTTCCTCAGTGCCACCATGTTGATTACTCACATTTGGTACATTGCCCTTCTCTTCACCCAAATCAATACTTGTCTCCACCTATCTAACAATGTTCCTTCCCCTCCCCTCCCACCTCTGGTAGTCAACAAAGAAAATTTCCTTCCATATATAAACCT